CTATGTGGAAAAAAAAGAAGCTTAGTTTTAAACTAGTGACTGCAAGATTGAGTTCTGGTAGTGTTGATCAAGGTCTTCAGCCTTGAAACAGTTCCAAGTGACATGCGCGTGGAGTCCAGTGGTCATGAAAAGAGAATTCCCAATCCATATTAATTATTGATGTCATTTTGATCTATTTGATCAATTTAGATCTATTTGTCAAATGGTGACTTCTTGCTAGTCTTAATGTGTTGAATACCATGAGAAAATATGTAACTACTTTTCTACCTTTTTCTCAGTGAATGTGTATTTTGCTGAAATTTGGTCAATTGTCGGCCACTGAGATAACTGGTTAGCAGGCTTGGTACTAACAGAGAGTAGAGCTAGGGCATTGCTCTGTGACTCTCCAGATGAGTTTAACCTTTTTGTTTTTTTTTTTTTCTTTTTCTATGAAAGAAACCAAAGGAAACCTTTTATTTCTTTTTCTTTCGCTCTCTTTCTTTTGTTCTTTCTTCTCCCCTTCAGGTACCATCATAGGCAACAGTTCTGATTCCAGAAATTTAAGATTTAATAGAGTATATTAGCTGAGGGTGTTTTCTCTGCTGATGATCATTAACTATTATTTAGAAGCTCAGCTGAAACCTCACATCCTGTATGTATATTCACAGGTATTTAATATATGTATTTAGCTGATGGGGGGAAAAACGAAGCTATGAATATTTCTGTTGGGATACATTCTATTTTTTTTTCACTTTTATGTAAATGTTGCCTTTTCCAGTGGTATGTAAAATTAATTATTTGAGTCAAATATACCCCCATTATCTGGTTCTGTTTAATTGTCACCTGGTTGAATGTGTGTTATGCTACAAGTCAGGAGCGTTTCCGTTCAGGATTTTTCCTAATGACATGTGCAGGCTACAATTTTTGTTTGGCTGGTTGTTTTTTCCTTTTGCAGCATTCAGATCTGAGCTGCCTCAAGGAGGAGGTGCCGTGGGAATGCCGTGATAACTGAATGGTCAGTGGGCAGCTTTGATCAAGAGGGTATGATTAGCTTGATGCTTACAGTGCAATATCTTTGATCTTGTAATAGAGTCCTACGTAAGTGGTGAGTTCTACCCAATAAATGCTCTTCAGAAAGTATGTAGAAGCCATATTCGCCGATTTTGTTATCTGGAGTAGTCCCAAATTTGCTCCAGTTAAACAAAAGATAGTTTTTACAATGTAGTTCAGCAGTGAAGAAATCGTGAATTGAGCCGTAAAAGGTGTTCCTGCCAATTACCTGCTATGTTACCAGCACTGTATTTGCCAAGGGATCTGTGAATCAGCTCTCTGATCATTTGGCAAAATGTTCCTAAATCTTCTTGGTTCATTCTCATGGTTCAGATGTGAGCAAATATGGAGATAATTTAAAGCAGGAGCAAAGCATTACTGCTATATTCCAGAAATAATCCTTCATGTTTAATACTGTTTTGGTGCTTCAGTTTACTGAATACTGCTCCCTCTTTTACAGTAGGACTGAAGACATTTACTAGCTACAGAAAAACAATACTTCAAAACCAAGCAACAAAAAGCCCTATATGAACAAAAGCAAATCTTTTGATCCAGATCACTTTGGGAGAAAACTAGAACTGCATCCAAATATTGCTCATGTCTTCTTTTATTGCAGTTTATGGATGATGATGAAAGTTTCCATATGCTCAGAAGTTGCAGAAATGAAGGCAAAGAGACGGTCCAGAGGTTTTCTGGACTTAGCCACTCGTCTGGGGAGTCTTTGAGCCCCAGACTGCTGAAGGCTCTGGGTGTCTCAGCAATGACCATGTTGTCCTTACCCTGTTCTTGTGCTCTTCCATAGCCCTCTGCTATTAGCTGCCTTCAGAGACAGCATAGTGGGTGAGATGAGACTGTGATCCAGCTTTGACCTGTCTGTCCTTTTTGCATTGGTTGTAGTGGAAGAAGAGGGCTAATGAGCTTCTCGGCAGACCCCAGAGCTGAGGCTCCCAAGGTGCACATGACACTCCTTTCTCCCTTCCCATAACATCAGGTTGTCCTACCGTCAGGCTGTTGAGTTGTGCCAATATCTTTGCATGCTGTTACCTATTACTTGAAACTTGTGGGAATGATTTCCAGCCTTATTTGTTAGTCATGGAATTAAAAAAAAAATCACTTTGAGTTAAATAAAATATGTTTTTATGGTACCTGTGACTAAATAGCCATTCAGTTTGTGTAGGCTCCCTCCTCTCTAGAAAATTTCAATAATTTCAATAATATCATCCAAGGAATTATGGCTCCTTCTGCAAAACTCTCAGTTGATTGAGGCAGGAAACTCAAACACCCGAAGATGGTCTGTTAAAAGTGGAAACTTTACTTTAAATCCCATACCTCACTTTGCAACATAATTTTTCAGTGTGTTTTTAAGTGATGTGTTTGTTTGTTTACTCTGCACAGTCAGCAGGCGCAGCATCCTCCCATGCATGGCGAGAGCAATATAAGTTGAGACAAATTCCCATACGGCAGCAAGGAACCACGTGGCTTGGAGCATTTCTTCATCTGCTTATGTTGAAACAGGCGCACGGGGATGGTGCTTGCTGCTCCTGCGTTTCACTGCCTGCATACGGGTGACATCAGGTTTGCCTTCAGTCAGAAATCTTGAAGTGCAGCTTTGCTGGGTGGGTCCCAGAAGAATTTGAAAGAGTTGTGGAGATAGGCGTGTTTACCTTGACAAAGTAGGGAGCGTAATCCTCCTGCGCTGCGCAAGTGCTTACGTTCTGTTCGCCTGCAACATCAGAAAGGTAGGGATTGCTTTTTTTCTTCTTTTTTTCTTTTAATACATGGGGTTATGGTTTGAATTGGCAGCGTGTCTCATGTCTAATGTCTGTTTTATAAGAGGAAGTTAGGGCAACTCTTCTGAGAGTCTTTGGATGAGAAATTCAAGCAAGGTAGATGTTTGGAACAGGTGCTCGTGAGATTTTATATATTACCACTAATTTTTCCAACTCATGAGACTGCTTTCTATTTTAGAGAAAGAAGTACAGGCTACCGGAATATTTTTCCTTCTTTTTTACTTCTTTTATTATCATTCTAGAAAGTGTTTCTAAGAGCACTTAATCCTGAATGAGAAGAGAGGAAAATACTAAGCAGAAAAATGGTTTTAGTTAATAATGTAAATGTGTTTTCATTTAAAAAAATCATATTTAAGTTGCTTTAAAAACATAGTTCAAATTTTAAAGTGCTATGCAAAAGCCATTACATATAAAAGTCAATTTAACAGACTATGTAACACATGACTTAGTTGCTGAAGATCTGAAGCAGATACTGCTATGAATAATACACTCTAAGCAAGTTGCCACATATGCTTCTTTCAAAGTAGTGCTTTAATAGTCAAGAAAGCAACTCCGTGTGCCTTTTAGTCTTGTTTTTGTAATGTACACCAGTTTTTAGTTAACTTCCTAGCTGGGATGAAGTCTTCAGCAGGGGTGATGCACTGATGAAGTTACCCTGGCACGCATTAGCTGAAGATATTTTTTCTTGCATTTGTTAGGACAGGAAGGGGATGCCAAGCAGAAGCTGAGATAATGAAACAGCAGTTACATTGTGGCTGCTCCTCGGGTTGTTTTTGTGGGTGGAAAACGTGCGAGCAGGTTGTTTGCAAACGAAAGGATAACCAGCAGGGGAGAACTAGGAACAGCGGTGCACAAGAGACACCCCGGTTTGTTTGGGGTGGTGGTGAAATCATTAAAGGCAGTTGCTAGTTTGGGCCACCGAGGGCACTTGGTGGTCCAAGCCCCCTGTTTGCCAGACCCGTTCCAGGAGGTAGGAGCTAAGGCAGTTGCAGAGTGCAGCTGCAGCCCCTGCTGCTCTGCCTGGCTCCCAAGGGCTGGTTTTAAACCCTGAGTCGTGCCAGGTGCGGGTGAAGCTGTCAACATCTTGGCTTGGCAGCCGTGGGCCCCTCCGGCGCCACGGGCTCCGCTCCTTGCCCTGGTTTGTGGCACTGCTGTACTCGTTACTGCTCCCAGCAGGCAGGTAACGAGGAGCTGCCCTTCCCGAGCAGCTCTCAGGTCGACGAGACAAAGCGAGGAGACTTGAGGGCACAGGGACGTTAGAGGACCTTCGGTGACTGCTCTGTAAGAGCAAAGCTTGTTGTTCCCTCTGTGTCTAACTAGAGGGTCATAGGAAGGAACGTGAAATGGCATAAAAAAGGCAGCAGCAAGAAAGAGCTTGTGGCTTCCACCCATGGTGGAGTTGGCTTCTGGTGTGCCTCACCGTCACCTCCGTGTGAAACTCTCCCCTCTTCGCTCCCACACAATTGTTCTGATGGCCTCTTGCTTCACCTGCCTCTCATCCTGGAAAGAAAAGCCCCAGCCACCTTTTTTTTTTTTTTTCCCAATATTTTTTTTCCATGTTCCAAATCTGGAGTCCATCTACCTCTAGTCTGTGTTTTGGGGGGCTTGCCTGTGTCAGGCCTTGCTCTGTGGTGTGCACCCCGTGTGCCCGGCACCCTGCACACGGTCACTCTGCTCGTTTCTCCCCTGCCAACGAGCAGATCATTCTTAACCTTAAATAGAAACCTGATGACCAAGCAGTCTTGCACCTCTGCTAAATCCCCTTTGTGTAACCTAGCATTTTAAAGTTAGTGCTCCAGTTTTTATTTCAACTAAAATTTTGATAAGTTATTTAAAAAAATCCACATATTTTCCTTTGATAGGGCTTTTTCATATAACTATAATTTTCTTACTTCAAGATTATGGCAGAAGTTTGAATTTTTATCAAACTCAGTAAGTTTTAAAGCTTAAGAGCAGACACAGTTTAATAGTACAGTGGGAGAACTAGTTTTCCCTTCCTTCAACTGCCAGTTGTCAGCGAAACAAATTTTAGATGCTTCAAAATAATTCACCTCTAAGTAGAGAGGGCATTGAAAATTTCACCCAGAAAATGAACTCTTTCAAACATTTTCCCTCCACCCCTTGAGAACAGGGAAAAACGTAATAAAACTCACTTGTCACCTTAATTAAGGGTTACTGCAAAGTGTCATTTTACCGTGCTCCGATATAGAAACCAAGTTACAAGGTAATATGATGGAATAGTAAAATAGGTAAAATATTCTAATTGCCTTATAACCGAACATTTAAATTTTACAGTTGAGGTGTTGGTGGGTAAATACGAAGTTAAAGGTCTCAGACCAGTCTTAAATTAACTCTCTTTTATGTATAGAGTAGCTCAGAGTGTTTCACCATAAGAACCTTTAAGTGGGGCAGCTTTTTTATTCTGTGGTACCACTGCGGGTGTGTGTGTGTGTGGACTTGGTAAGATGATTATAATGCCTATTTAGCTGGAATCCTTGTTGAATAAACAGGATGAGAAAAGATGGGCAAGATGCGGAATGATTCTATTACCAGCCCAATATTCTTCATTTCAATTCTTTCTTTGAAACCATTATTCAGGTGATATATGCTGGTCAACTGAGAAACACAATTTAGTCAAATTAAAAAAAAAAAAAACTGCCAAGAAGCAGAAATCAGCAACGTCTCTGAGAGGCAGAATACAAGAGGTAACAGTTAGTGCTTCTAACAGACAGATACCCAGAGCGAACGAGTCGTGTCTGAGAGGATTTGGAATACAAGATGGGAGAAGAGAATGGAGGTTGGGGTTGCCCTTATTGTCCTGGGGGCTAATAACTTTTTGGGATAAAAATTTAGGAGTGGAAAAGCTTGCCTGGCATCATGTCCTGTGATTGCTCATAAACTTGCCCATCAGTATGTCCTGGCTGTATGTATAAAGCAGCAGTTGTATTAGGCTCTGTGGCACAGTGTCAGTGTCAGCACTTGGACAAACACCAACCCGTTAGCAAGTTGGGATTTGCACACATGAGCTTTTGAATTTTGTTAAAACCCACTTATCTGCATTTTTTGACGTACCTTTTAGCTAGTAGGAAAAAGTTGCATACTTGTTACCAATAAGTGTGTGGTCCGTGCTTTTTTCCACCTGGTACATGGGATTCCTTAAGCACTGTGCTATCTAGTAGCCATGCATTTGTGGTTACTCTTAAATGAAAATAAATCTGATATGATGCATCAGGACCTTATTAACTCTTTCAAACCACTTTAAGTTAATGTTGATGACTAACATCCTGAAACAGCTTTCCTATCTCTTCTAGTATCTGAAAGTCTTGACTTTTCCCAACGGTTACTGCACCAGCTTTACTAGTTCAAGTGCATGATAAGGGAAGTAGGAGAGAGGTTTTATGCTTTTTGCTGATTTTATTCTTTTCCTGTGGCACCTCCAGTATCACACCCAATAGGCAGTCTAATAAGATGCTCAGAGGAATGAAGACTTTTCACTTGCGTGTCTGCGTTAGGGATCTACTTGGTTTTCCATCCTGCTCAACAGAGCAGGAAAGAAAGTCCTTGGAACCCATCCTTCAGATGTGCGTGTAGCCTGCTCTTAGTTCTGGTCTTGCAAGTTAGGTTTTTGTAAGCAAAATTCTGAGTTTCTGAACTTTTACACAGGAGCAAAATCAACTTTTTCCTCTGTATTTTTTAATACATTCTGTAGTAGCCAGAAATTCTGCTCCAAAGCAGCTTCCCACTTTGCTTTTAAAAATCCAGCCAGTTAGATTATGTCAAACAAAAAGTTGTTCTTCTTTGCTTAACAGCCTTAAAAGTTCCCTTTATTTACTTATTTTGTAAACTGAATATGTCAGGATCCAAGGAACAGAGTTTTAAAATAGCCTTCACGCTGGTACTTCCCAATTGTGTAGGCTTTAATTTTAATTATAAAGGGTGCAATTCCTGAACTAATCATTCCTGATTTTCCTGTTTCACATTAGCCAATTAAAACTAGATTAGACAGGTTGCAGGAGAGATCTTTCCTTAGCAAGGAGGTAATTAGATTTCTTTATCTGGAGTGTTTAATTTTCAGGGCATGGGGGGGTTCCGGTTTTGTGAGAACATCTTTATTTTTCATTTGGCTTTTGCCTCTCTGTAGAGCAATGGCAAAGCTCCCGGTTTTGTGGATGGAAGGAGCACGGCCCGTGCTCGCGTGCGGACGTGAGCCTGGGGAGAAGCCACCGCGGGTTCGGCAGAACCGGGTCGCTTGGCTGCTCCGTGCGCCCGGCACGTGTAGCAGCTCCCACAGCTCTGCTGGGAGCTCTGGGGAGACGCTCCGAGCAAAGCACCGGGAGCAGCAGCGAGTTCACAGCCCGAAGCCCTCCACGTTTCCTGTCGGAGCCGCTCCGGGTTGTTGGAAGCCGCGGGGACGGCTGGCAAGGACGGGAGGCAAACGAAAGCGGTGGCCCTTTAGCACCCCTGGCACAATCCCAGTGCTGGAACAGACCCCTGCCAGCTGGGCTTACGCTGGTCGCGTTGCAACGAGCTCCTGGCTACAACGAGTGCAGGGGTGAGCGAGTTTTACACTGCTGGGGCTCTGCGCGCCAGTGCTGCAGTCCTGACACTTGCTTTTCAGGGGCGAAAGTTGCTTGGCAACTTAAAAGGAGCCTGTTGCAAAATGCACTTCCCTTAAGTGAGTAATAAGAAACTGGTTCTGCCGTTTCCCAAGAAGAGAGAAGATTTCAGGCACTGTCTGAGGAAAGGCCAGTCTCCCCCGTGGGGCCTGCAGCCCCTCGTCCTGCGTGGCAGCAGGGACAGCTGAAGACTTAGTCCTGTGTCAAGAGCATCTTTGGTGGCTGCCCTTACTGTCCCTCTCGCACTATGGGAATTGTAAGGTTATGCAGCCACACTGAGCTGGAGATGCACTGGTCCTCCTAACCTGTGAGCATTTAATAAGCTGCCAAGTATCTTTGGGTTGAAAACAAAATTAAATAATGTAGGCAAGCGTAATTTAAAATATGTGCAAGCGCTTGAGGTGTTTTACATGCAGTGTGCCAGAACTGTGTGCCAGGCAGTTGAAAGAAAGGCTTTTTTTTCTTCGGAAAATGTAGTGTGCAAACGATAAGGGGCAGATCGCTGGGTCTGGGTCCAGTCACAGCAACGTGATCAGCAGAAGCAGCTGTGGAATTTCCAAGCGATTCCCAACAGACTTCCAAGCTTGCTAGGAACAAGCCCCAAGTGTGCTCCATTCATCCCCCTCTCCACCCTCTCCTTTCATAACTCACAGCCATTGTTTTAGGGCTAAAAGGATTCAAAGCAAATAATTTAAACTACAGCAACCAAGTGCTAATGTGGAGAAGCTGCTAATGAGGATTAGCAGTTGGGGCAGTGGTTGCCCTAGCTGTGTTGAACAAGCCATAGGGCTGGATTACTTGTTTCAGTGATGCCCAGGGAGCTTTGAAACAACTTGTTGGGCCGTGGGGATGGGATAATAGATGGGATCATCCTGGAAAGGATTGTTTAATTCCAATATCAATTTTAATCAAGGTTTCTAGAGAGTAGCAGGTGCCTAGCTATGGAGGAGGAGGTAATAGAGCTTAGTATGGAGCTCAGTTGCTTCTAGTGGCACTTTCTGTGATGGAGACTTTTGGCAGGAGTCATTTTCTTTTTAATACAGGAAAAATGTATACTCTGTGTGTGTGTGTATGTGCTCCAGGAGGCTTTTCTTAGTGAACTGGAAGGGCCAGAGCTTAGCCTAAGAGCTCAAGATTCCTGCTTGCTCCAGGAGTCTTTTCTTAGTGAGCTGGAAGGGCCAGAGCTGTAGCCTAAGAGCTCAAGATTCCTGCTTGTGCATGCTGTTTACTATGAAATAGTATTTGTGGAGTTTGAGGAGTCCTTATGACTGATTTATGATTTATTGCAATAGTCCTTATGATTTGAGGAGTCAGTTGTGATCACACGGTCACAGCTGTGGAGTGTGTAGGATCTAGAGGGTAGAAACAGAAACTGCCTCATGCTCTGGCTGCTGCTGCCTGGATATGTTTGGAGGGATCCCATCACCTTCCAGGTGCTCCAGGAATGTCTCCTAGAGACTGCCAAGCTGAAAGGGGACAGGAAAATGGCCCCAGTGCCAAACAGCCTTGTTGCTGGGATCTCCAGGACCGCTGAGGGGAAGAGTCTGGAACGAAACATGGGTAGGGTGAAGGTTAACATCCACTGCAAGGAAATGGAGCATGAGAACAGGCTGCAGACAGATACTGTGGAATTTCTTTCATCAGCTGTTTCCTAGGAATAACTTGGAGAGCATCCATCAGGGATGGCCTGGTCCTGTGTACCAGGCAAGGCCCAATAGGAAAACAGGGGCCTGGGCAGGAGGCACTTCCCGAGCGCTCCGCTTTCCATGACGGCGCTGGGTGGCTGCCGAGGAGGGATTTCCACTGAAATCCGTGCGCTCTGGATCCGATCCCAAGGCGCAGAATTCCCTTCAGTTTTAAGATTAAGCATGTGCTTACGTGCTTTGCTTAACTGAGACAAGTCAATGAATTCCTCAATGACCTAAGAGGGTAGTGAATGCTAACAACGCTGCAGTAGGCATTCGTGCTCCGAGGGAAGAGATGAATTGGTTAGATCCTGAGGACTTATATTAATATTTACACTACTGGCTGTTGCCAGTGTTGGAATACGCAGCGTGTGTGTTGAATCACAACCCAGCCCTGGCCAACTGCTACAGCTCTTTGCACTGTGTTGCCTGGCCTGTTTCTGTTCCAGTTATGATTTGTGATGCTTTGCAGTGCACGGTTTGGTTTATTTCTATATGTGTGTGTACACACACAAGCACACACATAGATTTATATATATGTATGTATTTATATATGTGTTACACACACATATGACTACAGATATATATATATATATAAATGAGAAGAAGCACTGCTGTGTAAAGAGTCTCTCCTCCTGGTCTTTTAAGGCAATATTCCTGCAAGTCTTTATGTCTGACCTAAAATGTCATGTTTCAAAGCCCTGCTTCATTATCATGGCGCCTGCCAGCTGTAGTTAAGGGTCTGTTAGCAGCCCCATTATAAATCCTGACTTCCAGGAGTTTATAATTCAGCAGTAAAAAAATTGCTCTAGGCCAAAACTTGGCATAAAAAGTCTCAGTGAAGGAATGATTGTGATTTCTCCTCCATTATTTTTGCTTATAAACATAAAATCCATTCAGTAGGATTTATTGTCCCCTTTCAGCATTTAAAAAAATTAAGTGGCTGAGTTATTAATATCTCAATACTGGCTACTGTGTACGGCCAGTAAATTGATTTAAAGTGTTTGTTAATGGAGCTCTGGTCAATGGATATAAAGTCACCGTTTGACAAACCTGGTGTTAGCTTCAGCAGAGCCCCGGTCCTCAATAGAAGAGTGCAGTGACTGCTCGTAGCTAGTGATTAAATACAGGGCACTTGGTTGAAATTCTCCCAGCTTAACCATTTTCTTATAGGAAAATAAGATTTGGTGAAATCAGGTTTTTTTTCCGTTTAATTTTCATGCTTTATAGGAAACTTTGCTAAGGAAAAAGGGTTATTTCTTCTATTTCCAGAAAAAAAAAATTTAACCTTATGGAAGACATTATGTTGACTTATATTTTTATTTTATTTTAAAATATTTTATTGAGTATATAAAATGTTTGTTCTGTAAAGTCTTTACAACGAAATGAGGGATAGTAGAAAGCTCTAAATACATCATATAAAGTGTAAAAATTGAAAATGAGGTTTTTTTATAAGCATGAAATGTTTTGATGTAAGTGCAATAATGTTTTTTCCCCTCCAAGAACTGATTTCAGACACTTTATTGTGGCCTAGGACTTGGCCACACTCGAGTCCCAGCAGCTCCTGACATCCCGTGTGAGTTCTCTGCGCTCTGCAGGGTTTGTGCTCCTGTGCCCAGCGCTGCTGGCAG